TCGACTTAAACAACTACGAAGTTGTATCTCGAGTGGAATCTCGACTAAGCTACGAATCTTACGACTACGAAGTCGACTTCAACAACTATGAAGTTGTATCTCGAGTGGAATCTCGACTAAGCTACGAAGCTTACGACTACGAAGTCGACTTAAACAACTATGAAGTTGTATCTCGAGTGGAATCTCGACTAAGCTACGAAGCTTATGACTACGAAGTCGACTTAAACAACTACGAAGTTGTATCTAGAGTGGAATCTCGACTAAGCTACGAAGCTTACGTCTACGAAGTCGATTTAAACAACTACGAAGTTGTATCTCGAGTGGAATCTCGACTAAGCTACGAAGCTTACGACTACGAAGTCGACTTAAACAACTACGGAGTTTTATCTCGAGTGGAATCTCGACTAAGCTACGAAGCTTACGACTGTGACGTCGATTTAAACAACTACGAAGTTGTATCTCGAGTGGAATCTCGACTAATCTACGAAGTCGATTTAAATAACTACGAAGTTGTATCTCGAGTAGAATCTCGACTAAGCTACGAAGCTTACAACTACGAAGTTGCTTTTCAAATAGTCCATTATAACACGGGTGGATTCTCGAAAAGGCTACGAGGCCTACGACTATGAAGTCGATCTGAAAAACTGCGAAGTTGTGTTTCTCGAGTAGATTCTCGAGAAGGCTACGTAGCCTACAACTATGAAGTCAATTTATTGACAACGGTGAAGTTGCATATTTTAAATGGACTCTAAAAAAAATGGCTCAAGACTAACTACGAACAAGTCAAACTATAGTTACAATACTAGTCATATCGACAAAACGAACATCAGTGCTCGACTTCGACCAGCTCGCACGATGGGTTGGGGAGAAGACGAGTTGAAAAACTTTTGTTTATCAGCTATGAAGCTGCTAAAATCGTTGCTCGACTTCGACCACCTCGCACGATGGGTTGGGGAGAAGACGAGTTGAAAAACTTTTGTTTAATTTTGTCGAAATTCCTTTTCGACTTCAACCTGCAGCAGGTTGAGGTACTCGAGCTGATCGAAGAAGACAAACCCACCATGACTAAGGCCTCCTGGCGGGTGGTCCACCATGATTAAAGCCTCCGGGCTGGGTGGTCGAAGAAGACAAATCCACCATGACTAAGGCATCCTGGCTGGGTGGTCCACCATGATTAAGGCCTCCGGGCTGGGTGGTGAAGACAAACCACCATGACTAAGGCCTCCAGGCTGGGTGGTCCACCACGATTAAGGCCTCCGGGCTGGGTGGTTGAAGAAGACAAATCCACCATGACTAAGGCCTCCGGGCTGGGTGGTCCACCATGATTAAGGCCTTTCGGGCTGGGTGGTGAA